TTAGGGGTGGGCAGGATGGGTTGGTTTCGGGTAGTGAGAGGGCTGGGTGGGTTTCGGGTATTCGGTGGGCTGGGCTGGTTTTGGGTATTTGGTGGGCTGGTTGGGTTTCGGGTATATGGTGGCGGGCTATGAGTGTGACGGGTGGGGGCCGAGAAGGAGTCGGGTGGATGGGATGGGGTGGCCTTGTGAGCATGCGGCATAGTACACGGCGACGCTAGAGGAAAAATGGAAAGGACACTGGGAAATAACGGAGAAGTGACTCAAGACCCTGTGTGTGGAGAGACAGTGGAGTATGGAAACTGACTTTCTTGAAATTGGACATGGCGAGAGATGTATATGCGACCGGTGGTGAGATCAAAACAGCGATACCCCTTAGAAGAGGAATCGTACCCAAGAAAGACACAAGGTTTGGACCGGGGTTGGAATTTATTTGTGATCTCGTGCCGTAGACACAGGTAGGCTAAGCAGCCAAACACTCGGAGAAAATTGTAGTCTGGAGATTTTTGAAACAAAGACTCAAAAGGAGATTTGTGATTAAGGGACCTTTTTAGCATGCGATTTATCAGGAAATTTGCAGTAGCCAATGCTTCGACCCAAAATTTGGCTGGGAGATTGGCAGTGCAAAGGAGTGTGACAAATGTTTCAACCAAGTGACGATGCTTTCTTTCAGCGACACCATTTTGTTCAGGAGTGTATGAACAGGATTTTTGGTGAAGAATCCCCAAATTTTGTAGAAACAACCCAAACTTTTTATTGACATATTCCCGCCCATTATCTGTGCGAAATAGTTTAAGGTGCGCATTGAACTGAGTACGAACCATGGATTGAAAACTTTGAAAAGCATCAAATGTATCAAATTTATTTTTAAGAGGGTACAACCTGCAGAACTTTGTATAATCATTAATAAAATTAATGTAAAAATGATAGCCCCAAAAGGAGGGTACAGAAGGAGGTCCCCATACATTAGAGTGAATAAGTTCAAATGGAGTAGATGTTTTGGTGTCAGACATAGGGAAGGGAAGTTTATGGGACTTGGCAAGAGAACATGAATTACAATGATCAAGATGCTGAAATTTGAAACCTAATTGAGACAATAAAGATTAAGTGACTTGAACTGAGAGATGACCAAGACGGTAGTGTCATTGATAAGGGGTGACTTTGACGGAGTTGACCACTAGAGACGAACTTGATGCCGATATGGAGTACAAGCCACGCTCACAAGGGCCCTTGAAAAAGAACTTGATTGGTTAGGTTGTCCCGAATCGTAAAATCCTTAGAGGTAAAAAGAAGAGAACAATTATTATCTTTAGTAAATTGATGAACAGAAAGGAGATGGGAATTAATGTGAGGGGGATGGAGGAGGTTGGTTAGGTGAAAATTATGGTGTGAGGTGGTTAATATACCTGAAACTGTATGGTCAATAGGATAAGTGTTACCTCCCGCAGTTGTGATGGAGTTGGTGTCATGATATGGTGACAGAGAGTGCAGCCGAGACAAATCAGACGTAACATGAGTGTTTGCGCCAGTGTTCAGATGCCAGTTCGATCTAGATTCAGTGGATTGATTGACTAGTGTATGATTCGTCGTAGCGGTGCCAACAATTCCAGATCGCATGGCCAGGCATCCCACATAGCTGACACGTGACGAACACCCCACGGCCACCTCTCTTCCGCGTGCATCATCGCGGTATAGCGGCTGCCGTCCGCCTCTACCGCTGGTTTGATTGCCGCGGTAAGGCCCTCTTCGGCCTCGCGGTGGTCCACGGCCACGACCCTTACCATTGCCTTGTCCGGAATTAGTGAAAAGGGCATTATGGATGTCAACGGACGAAGTAGAGCCAAAGTCACCCAGAGATAATTTTTTCTCAAAACATAAGTTCAATTCTTCAGACAGCAACCAAAAAGAGACCTGATTAAAAGTGACGGTGGCAATATTGGTGCAATTATTTTGCTTGAGGGAGGCGCAGTCGGCCAGTAGACCTCGAAGAACACCCAGGACAATATCTTGTTTGGAGATTTCTTCATGAGCCAATTTGAGAGATGACACAATAGTGAGAACAGTGTCCAAATATGTTTGCATCAAATTGGTCCCCTTTGTAACACCATGTTAATGCTCCTTCAGTTGAAAAATATGAGTGCGTGAAAGAGAATTATATCGTTGTTCGAGGTGATTCTAGATTGCAGCCGAGGTGGGAAGAGCATGAATATGTGTTTGAACAGTGGGTGAGACAATAGCAAGGAGACAGGCCCGAATCTGAGCATCAACAATATGCCATGATTCATAGGCTGGATTTGGCTTCATGACCGGGGGTTCATCTTTCCCTGGTGTTGCAGCCTTCTCATCAAGAATAAGAGACGGAGGAGATGGTTCAGATCCATCCACATAGTTGAGAAGACGATGAGCAAGGAGATTTGCACGGACCGTGGCCGACCAAGAGGGATAATTAGTATCATCAAGCTTGACCGGGGTTAGGGATTGAAGATTCCGGACAAACAACGTGAGACCCGTAAGAAGACGATCCATAGGATCAGAAGATACAGGAGCCATGGCTGTGCACGGCTTGATCGAGAAAGAAGAGATCGGCTGTGCCGATAAAAAAAAATTTGTTCGGTGATTAACGCAACAAAGGAGGAGAGAGACACAGATCTTTGTGCTCTGATACCATGTTGATTTAGTAATTCAACTCATACTGAATAATTGTATACATGGGTGTTTATATAGGTGAGAATCCCTACATTAATTAGGATTCACCAAATATGTAAACTAACATAAATAACAATTCTACCATAACTAGACTTCTTACCATATATGTCTAACAATTTGAGTTTATTTTATTGTTACATTCTTTAAAAAGTATGTCAACATTCATGATTATTATTATGATTTAGTTTTGATTGAAGAACATTTTGCTTTTTTCTTAACATGATTTTTTTGTTAATGCATTTGCTTATGTCATATGCAATACTAAATTTTGTATTGTGTAATAACTTGGAAAAAAATGGTTGTTTCTTATTTTATGTCCTGGAAACATAATGTTTTTTACTTTTCGGTTTACACTTAAATAGTGTTTAAAACTTTTCAGATGCAATGCATTTATATATTGCAGTGTATAACTTATTATTTAACCTATAATACTCCGCATATATATACACACACTCACACATGTTCGCCTCTTGACTGCCCGCCTCTTGCCTCTAAAAGGGTCCTCTCGCCTGCCTCTCACATTTAATAACTATGGTATTTTGTATTTGCATTGACCACATTCAAATATGTATAGAAGTTGAGTTAAAGGTTTCTCTGTGCTTATAATTTGGTCAAAACTGTTTATAAGTTATTTTTAACTTATAAGTCCGTTGATGACGTATTTCCCTGTGTTTATAAGCTACTCATTATCCAGAAAAAATAAGTAGGTCTTACCTACTCATTTTTTGACGAGATTATTTAGAAAATTATCTCTCACCTATTATGAACTTATATACTCCGTATCATTTAAGTCGTTTTGCCTACATATAAGTTAAAATTTGTTTATCAACAATAAGTCAACAAGCACCAGCACAGGTAAACACACTCTCCCTGCTCGCAACATTTACTGTTCAAAACACAATTGAAGTGCTTCAAAACTGTCATTCCCTTACAATAGTCAGTGAACACTGTTGTTAGTGGTTTAGGGAGCTTCATACTCATAAAACAGAGGCCTGCCTGGTCTGAGAACTTTAAAAATACATTGACAACTCAATTAAACGAGAGAATTTTGATAAATTAAGGGTGCCAGCTGCATACCTCAACTAGGCGAAGCTTGATATTATCATCTGCAAAAAGAGAATCTTTCAGATTTTGGCCACGAAGCCCCCTCATAAGCACAGCTACTTCTTCATTTTCCTCCATTTGTGCCCTTACCCTCTTGATCTCTTGAGATACCTCCTGCATTCTCTGGCATCCCCAATCTCACACCATAAGTCCATAAGTACAAACTATCGCACACATGACTGCATACAAACACACACTTATACGAACATAGATACCTCGATATGGATAACACACCTGTTAGACTTAATCCATACAAAATAATATAGGGATTCATGTTGATTTCTGCGCTTATTTAACAGTACGTGATTCCTACCCTAATCAATTCTCAACATTAGACTCGTGACTTCTACAACAAGATGATTTCAGCCCTATTTCTCAGTGATCGATCGGAGCAAGCAACTTACTGTGGAGACTCCATTGGGGAATCCGTTGACTGCCTTGGACGGAGAAGGCCTGGTGTCCGGAGGCTTAGGCTCGGTTGCGATGGCGCGAACTACGGCGTTTCGTCTCCGGATCCTAAGGGACGAGCGGCGATTGTGTGAATCCTTGGAAATGGTGGCGAGTAGAGAAGACGGCAGCGAGGCGCGACGCAGAGGATCGGCGAGCTGCGCGGATGCGTCCATGGCTGCGGGATCAAATACTCCGATTGTATGCAAAATATTGTGGAATCGAAATCATGTGGAGTTCGATTTGGGATTTTTCTCGCTGAATTATCAAATACCCCGGAGTCTTCCGTATGTGAGAAACGAAGATGGCAGTACGAGTTTTTAGTGTATACTGTGCACCGAATGTTTGTCCGCCGCAGGGGTGGATTATGGCGGTTAGAAAGACACGTGGAGGAACGGATGGCGGGACTAGAGATTGGTTAACAAAAATGGTAGGAAGTCTAACAAACAAAGAGTTCACAAAAATGGTAGGAATGGAGTAATGCTAGATTCACAAATAAACAGTTTGCAAAATTTACAAATTTATCTTTTTAACACTTTTCTAGAAATAAGATGTACTCAAATAATAAGAGATATTTTAATTTAAAATCTACAAAAGGCAAATTTGTGAAGTTTGTGATTCTAGCACCCTTTATGCATACACAAGTATTATCATCTGTTAAATGAGATAATTATTGTCCGGGATATGCTAGGGGTACACCAAAAAGTGTACCCCAAATGTACACCACCCTCTTACTAACCATTCATTTTATTTTGTTTTTATTTTTAAATTTTTTTGAAAATTTCTTGCCCTTTTGTGTGGTGATGGAGGGGGTGGAGGATGTTTGGGGTACACTTTTGGGTGTACCCCTAGCATTTTCCTTATTGTCCACATATGTATTAGATCATAGATAATTATAATTCGTGAGAATTACCGTGGTAGTTCTTAGCATGATCGTGGATAAAAAGACCGAGAAAGGTGTCATTTTACCAATATCAAAACAAATATTCTCTCCTACTCTAAAAATATTTCTCTAGACCATGCTTTGTACTTGCATATACTAAAAAAATTGTCTATATTGTACTGCCATTTTATGCTAGTGTGTCCTAGTGTAAAACATGATCCACTCATCTATCCATTGAGAAGAGAAATAAGTTTTAAAGGAAACAATTTCTAGTCATGACTTCTTATATGCAATGACCATTAACAAAAGTCAAAGTCAATCTTTAATGCATGTTGGCTACTACTTAAAAACCAGTCATTAGTCACGGTAAACTATATGTTGCTATCTCCCGTGTGACAAATTGTGAAGGTCTGAAGATCTTATGTTGTGACGAAGAAAACAATGTTTTGGATTACACTTCAAATGTTATTTATAAAGAAGTCTTCTGGAATTTATAGTGCATTTTTATATGTAAAATTTATTTCTGTGCAATGCACTTGTATATGATCTAGGACTATACAAAGTGATTTGTGGTTCGAAATATACGGTATTTGGATGTGATATATATTAAATTTTAGTTTTTACTATATTAACTGATTCTAATTTAGTTATTCTTTGCACAAACAAAATAATTTATTATTACATTATCCTGACTGTGCATCGCACAAGTAAAAGTTATTTCTTTCCCTTATTTTCAGTTGTAAACAAGCAAGAGAAAAGTTATTAAAAATTATATTTCCTCCTACCTTTTATTTTCTCTCCAAATTCACCACATCCAAATAATGTGTAAATCTGCGACCACAGTCACTGTTGTTACGCTGTCTATCAAGCTCAAACCAAAATACATGATCGGCCTTAGAATTGATATAAAATTGTAGTTTTAGTCCCTAGTTTAACACTCACATGTTGAAAAGTCGAACAGTAGAAAGATACTCACTAACGAAGAAGCACGAACGTTACACTTGGTAAAAGAAAACAAATAATGAGAAAGAAAATGGTAAGAAGAGAAAATGATGCGATATCAAAGAAAAATAATTGACGCTTGGATGATAAGAAAATGGTGAGAAAATAAAATGAAAGAGAAGACACATTTTCCTTCATCCATTTGGTTGACGAGAAAAAAATGAGAAAAAAAGAAAATATAATAAAACAAAAATACATTATTGTCCCTACAACATTTGGCATAGTGCACTAGTCTATACTTTTATCACTTATATTCTCTTATTCAATTAGTACATACAAATACAATTTTTATCTACTGTATTTGACGGGGAACTGCATTTTAATGCTAGTACTATAAAATAAATTTTGCATTAAATTGTAGTAGTAAATTTTTTAGTACTAATCAAAGATATTTTATTAAATTAAGGTCTTCAAAGATATTTATACAACAAAATAAAGTACACAAATAGTGACAAATAAAGAGCAAAAACCAATTGTAAAAAAATAGTAAAAACTATTTTTATTAGGTGATGTGTTTATTATTGACGGAAAATAAAATAAAAAGAAGATAAAAGATGCAATGGAAAACAAACAAAGAAACATAGAAAGGACGCACAGAAAGCAGAATGACAACTTTGTCATTTTGTACGTTTTCTCTCCAATCACTCATTTCTCTCACCAAGTCAAAAGTGAAGTTGACTTTTTTTAGTTGCATTTTCTCTTACAACCAAACAAGAGAAAATACCTAAAAATTAACCTTCTCTTCATTTTTTTTCTATTTTCCAATTATCCAAACACCTTGTAAATATAAAAAAACTAGAATAGTTCACTTTTTTTCTCCTCTCCAAATTTATGTAGTACAAATTTACTTTTTTTAAAAGTGGGTGAGTACGGAGTATAATTTAGGCGTTAAAAAAAGTTGGTAAAAATGAACTATTTGTTCTTTGCAAAATTACGAGGGGAAAGGGGAGAAAACAAGGGAGAGCTCTCTGTAACTTCTGGCATTCCAAAGTGGTTTGCGATGACATCTGTGCTAACAAACCCTAGGCAACTGGAATGAGGAATGGGATCGGAACTCGAAAATAGCAAGAACTGAAATCATCTTTATCCTCAATTCGGAGTCCTGTCCAGAAAAAGGTCGATTCTTTTTCTTCTTCTTCTCCAATACGCGTTACAGTTATACAAAAACGCCGATCAATGTCTGCTTTGTAGTTTCTCATCGGTCTTTCCCGCCACACCACCAATCCAGGATACTGGAATTTCATGTAATTTTCTTATTTACTTTGACGATTGCTGTATGAAGCTCATTTATTGTATTTTGAACTAATATCTAAACTCTTTTCTGCTAAGTATTTGATTCAAATTTGTTTTTTTGATGACAGTGATTTTTTACGATGGGTAATGCTTCTTCAATGTTGACCCAATATGACATTGAAGACGTCCAAGACCACTGTAACCATCTGTGTAATGATCGGTCTATTTGTCCCCTTCCCCCTTGATATTTTCTTTTGTGCTGGCTATGTGTTTGAATAATTGTCTCTGAACTTCTTGTTTCTTGTAAAATTTAGTTAATCAGCTAGAAATACTCTCACTATACCAGAGGTTCTGCCAACTCGATAGGAGTGCAAAAGGGTTCATATCAGCTGATGAGTTTTTGTCAGTTCCAGAGTTTGCCATGAATCCCTTATCACAGGTTAGTATTAGTTCTTGTTGAGTTGCATTCATAAATTTTGAATTATAGTTGAATTTAAGTGAATTTTTAAACACTAAATAGGTTTGATTTGCCAAAAAAAGTAATGTCTTAACTAGAAAACCAAAGAAAATAATGAGCAGCAAGAAGATGATGGCATAAGGCTTATATGTCTTCATTTTTATACCATCCCCATCAAAAGTATAGTTTTGCACTACTTTCCATCATCCTATAATCTGATTTTGATATACACTGGAATAAAACATGGCTTTTAAGTAGACATATTTTAGTACTTATATCGATCTCATAAGCCAGTTTTTTAATGTCACCCTAACTTATATAGTTATATTATACCGGATTGTCCTTGTACAATTTGTTGGAATAAAAGGAGAAGCTTTGCATAGGTTATATTTTCGGTGATGAAATGATATGATGCCTTTATCTTCATGTTAGATATTGAAAAATCTTAAAAAAATTTGAATACTTTTTAGAATAAGTCAACCAATACAACAATGCAATGAATTTAAGTGAATTTTTAAACACGAAACAGGTTTGATTTGCCAAAAAAGTAATGTCTTAACTAGAAAAACAAAGAAAATAATGAGCAGCAAGAAGATGATGGCATAAGGCTTATATGTCTTCATTTTTCTACCATCCCCATCAAAAGTATAATTTTGCACTACTTTCTATCATCCTATAATCTGATTTTGATATACACTGGAATAAGCTAGTGTTTTATGAATAAGACATGGCTTGTAAGTAGACATATTTTAGTACTTATATCGATCTCATAAGCCAGTTTTTTTAATCTCACCCTAACTTATATAGTTATATTTTACTTCCGAGTAGGGGCAAGGTCTGCGTACACACACCCTCCCCAGACCCTACTGTTGTGGGATTCACCTGGGTTGTTGTTGTTGTTGTATACAGGATTGTCCTTGTACAATTTGTGGGAATAAAAGGAGAAGCTTTGCATAGGTTATATTTTCGGTGAAATGATATGATATGATGCCTATATCTTCATGTTAGATATTGAAAAAATTAAAAAAAATGAATACTTTTTAGAATAAGTCAACCAATACAGCAATGCTATTTGTTTCAACAAAATGTTCCCTCACTGAATGGCCAGTGCTATAGTTCAATCATTTATTTTTCAGATCTTTTTTTGTCTTCCAGAGATTGCTCAAGATGGTGGATGGATTAAACTTCAAGGAATTTGTAGCTTTTTTGTCAGCCTTTAGTGCCAAAGCTAGCCTGCGACAGAAAGTTGAGCGTATGTCATTGATCCTTGTTACTCTCAAGTTCTCTGACAATTTCTTGTGTGTGTGTGTATGTGTATTTCTGGTAATAATTTATAAATTGTAAGTGCCATAAATGAAGAAAGAAGAATTGGGTTGACCAAAGAGAGTATTTTTTTATCATCTAAAATTGATTCAAGTAAAAAATGTGTTACATGGTATTTAGTTATTTATCTATATACTCCGTATATGATACTCCGATTATTTTATTCTTTCTACTTTTCTATAGATTTGATTTTGATCTTATAACACAATATCATTTCAAATGTAGTTCTTCATTGTTGGGTAGTCATAATCTTGTTATGGGGTAATGTACTAATATTTTCTTCTAATGCGAGAGGCTTACGATAGTGGGTAGATGTGGGGGAAGGGGTGTACATACGAAGAATTGGAAGGAGGATTTCTGGTCCGTACTGAGGATATGATCTTATATAAGAACG